ATGTTGTTGGCATCAAATTTAAAATGACAACTATTTTTCAAAAAAACAATAAAATTTGTCAGTTTCAACATTTGATATGTTGTTTTTGTACCATTTTCAATCAAATATAGGGTTTAAATGATTTGCACATCATTGCACTTTGTTTTTATTTACATTTTGCACAGCGTCCCAACTTTTCTGGAAATGGGGTTGTACTTTTAACTACTGAGTTAAACCTTTAACAAGCCATGGATTTATTAGCCAAAGTTTTATTACATACTTCTATAACCTAAGAGTAGCTCCATTAGTTTGCATTGAAGCCCCTGTAGTTACTGAATAATAAGCCTTAGTATGAAATAAACCTGGAATGTTAAGGGGTTAAATACAGCTGCAAAAACAACCTGCTTCAAAGTAATCATGGTTGTGATGTCACAGCCATGAATCCATTTGCATAACAGCCCACAGCAGCTTAGCCCACCCATTCACATTGAAGTGGTTTATTTTTTGACCAAAACCAAATACAAGGTCCTTCTGAAAGGGTCAGCCTATCAGAACAGAGCTCATTTACATATCAGTGGTAAAGGTACAGTAACAGAAGCAGCCTGTTCATGTCTAATGGATGAACAGTGGGAAAATGGGCCAAAAAATGAATTATGACTGTTTTAGATACATAAACCCATACAGTCACACGCAAAAGTTTGGGCACCCGTCCTAATTTACATGTTTCAGTCTTAAAGGCACGTTAATGTAAACAACCTGTGTAATTCTAATGAATAAATAAGTGAGAAGATGGTAAAATAAAAATGAATTATGACTGCTTTAGGTCCATAAATCCATAAACTTATATACTCACCCCTGGTCAAATTACATTTTCTTGATTTTCTAAATGAAAAACGAGTACAAATCCTCTACAGACGACACACCTCCACCTTTTAGTGCCCCATATTCAACATATTGGGGAAAAAAACAGAAAACCTGTCTTCTGCAAAAGTTATGGCACATTTTATATTAGATTTTTTCCATTATCTTAAACTCTGCAAATAAGCAAATACATAAAAATTGTGTACTAAAATGAACCAATAATGCCATATTTACGTTTGTTACTTGTAGAGGACGTGTTAACGTGCTAACTCACTGGAATTTTGACCAGTGGTGTTTAAACTTTTGCCTACGACTGCTTAAATGTTGTAAGTGGACTTCAGTTGGAAAAGATAAATACAGAATATGGGCCTTTTAATGTTATAAAGCTGTCAAGAATGTGTGAATTTAAGGCTGGCAAAGTCGGATCTCTGCATTAATCCTACTAGACGATGCGTCGGTGAAACCCAGCTGGTACCAGTCTTGGTTGGTGCACATACAAATGGAACCAATCGAGCTTGGCTTCTTTCCACGGAAGCTGCTTCGGATTGAGAGCATCTGTCAAAATTTCCATTCCTTCATCTTCCCAATGCCCAGTGTAAAGATACTCTTGGTATTCCATTCTAATTAAATCAGGCTTTGTGAGTTTTAACCCAAAGTACACAGTGAGAAGAGAGGGCTGGCTGTGTTTATGCGAAGTCATTTACATGCAGGGTGGGTACCGCGGGACGTAAGATGTGATATATACGCTCTGTATAGGCTGTGTATGCAGACAAACGGCTTTTTTCTCTGCACACATGGTGCTGTTGCGTTCTGTTTTGTGGTAATTAGAGCTCAGGTGAGCCCATCTGTTCACCTGCACCAAGATTGTGATTACACTGTCAGTGCAGAGGGTGACAACCGGCGCTGTGTTTCAGGAGAGGCACATAGTGGAAAATAGGAAACTGGAGCTATTTATACACTATCATTCAATCACAGCTCAAAGGTTTAGAATCAATAGTTTGAGAACCGAAATGTACCAAATTCCATAGGAGTTATATTTGACTCTGCATGCACTGTACTGACTTCATATACCCTGACATATACACTGCTTTCACTCTATATATATTGTCTTGAATATACACGGTCTTCTTGACATATACACTGCCTTGACTCCATATATACTGTCTTGACATATACGCTGCCTTGACTCCATATACACTGTCTTGACATATACACTGCCTTGATTCCAAATATACTGTCTTGACATATACACTGCCTTGACTCCATATATACTGTCTTGACATATACGCTGCCTTGATTCCAAATATACTGTCTTGACATATACATGGTCTTCTTGACATATACACTGCCTTGACTCCATATATACTGCCTTGACATATACACTGTCTTCTTGACGTATATACTGCCTTGACTCCATATACACTGCCTTGACATATACACGGTCTTCTTGACGTATACACTGCCTTGACGCCTTATATACTGTCTTGACATACACACAGTCTTCTTGACGTATACACTGCCTTGACTCCATATATACTGTCTTGACATATACGCTGCCTTGATTCCAAATATACTGTCTTGACATATACATGGTCTTCTTGACATATACACTGCCTTGACTCCATACATACTGTCTTGACATATACGCTGCCTTGACTCCATATATACTGTCTTGATATATACACTGCCTTGATTCCAAATATACTGTCTTGACATATACATGGTCTTCTTGATATATACACTGCTTTGAATCCATATATACTGCCTTGACATATACGCTGCCTTGATTCCATACATACTGTCTTGACATATACATGGTCTTCTTGACATATACACTGCCTTGAATCCATACATACTGTCTTGACATATACATGGTCTTCTTGACATATACACTGCCTTGAATCCATATATACTGCCTTGATATATACACTGTCTTCTTGACATATATACTGCCTTGACTCCATATATACTGCCTTGACATATACACGGTCTTCTTGATGTATACACTGCCTTGACGCCTTATATACTGTCTTGACATATACACTGCCTTGACTCCATATATACTGTCTTGATATATACACTGCCTTGATTCCAAATATACTGTCTTGACATATACACGGTCTTCTTGATATATACACTGCCTTGAATCCATATATACTGCCTTGACATATACGCTGCCTTGATTCCAAATATACTGTCTTGACATATACATGGTCTTCTTGACATATACACTGCCTTGAATCCATACATACTGTCTTGACATATACATGGTCTTCTTGACATATACACTGCCTTGAATCCATACATACTGTCTTGACATATACATGGTCTTCTTGACATATACACTGCCTTGACTCCATATATGCTGCCTTGACATATACACTGTCTTCTTGACATATATACTGCCTTGACTCCATATATACTGCCTTGACATATACACGGTCTTCTTGATGTATACACTGCCTTGACGCCTTATATACTGTCTTGACATATACACTGCCTTGACTCCATATATACTGTCTTGATATATACACTGCCTTGATTCCAAATATACTGTCTTGACATATACATGGTCTTCTTGATATATACACTGCCTTGAATCCATATATACTGCCTTGACATATACGCTGCCTTGATTCCAAATATACTGTCTTGACATATACATGGTCTTCTTGACATATACACTGCCTTGAACCCATACATACTGTCTTGACATATACATGGTCTTCTTGACATATACACTGCCTTGAACCCATACTTACTGTCTTGACATATACATGGTCTTCTTGACAGATACACTGCCTTGACTCCATATATACTGCCTTGACATATACACGGTCTTCTTGACGTATACACTGCCTTGACGCCTTATATACTGTCTTGACATAAACACAGTCTTCTTGACGTATACACTGCCTTGACTCCATATATACTGTCTTAACATATACGCTGCCTTGATTCCAAATATACTGTCTTGACATATACATGGTCTTCTTGACATATACACTGCCTTGAATCCATACATACTGTCTTGACATATACATGGTCTTCTTGACATATACACTGCCTTGAATCCATATATACTGCCTTGACATATACATGGTCTTCTTGACATATATACTGCCTTGACTCCATATATACCGCCTTGACATATATACTGTCTTCTTGACGTATATACTGCCTTGACTCCATATATACTGCCTTGACATATACATGGTCTTGACGTATACACTGTCTCGATGCCTTATATACTGTCTTGACATATACACGGTCTTCTTGACATATACACTGCCTTGACTCCATATATACTGTCTTGACATATACGCTGCCTTGACTCCATATATACTGTCTTGATATATACATGGTCTTCTTGACATATGCAGTGGCTTGGCACTCACACACACACACACACACACACACACACAAAACAAAACATGCTAATGTCCTGCAATGTCATTTCTTCAGGCTATAGGCTGCCAGCAGTGGTCATCACTGTACATATTCCAACACTTCCACCCTGATACAAAACAAGAGCAACCAATCAGAAAGCAGGATTCACACAAACACAACCAACACTGCAGCATCTTCAGAATAAAGCATGTTCAGCACCGACGTGACTTCTGCCCAGAGAAGAGTTAAAGTCAGACAGCTAAACCTATAATTTTAAAGATGTACCAACTTAAAACCTAATAATTAGCCGAAAACACAGCTCACTGCCACAGCGGACTCAAATAAAGACGACATGAACGTTAGAATAGAATAGAATAGAAAAGTTCAATCAAACAGCTGGACAGGAAATACAACACAGCGATCTTAAGCAGTATGACAGGGACAAAATAAGTGGAGTGGAAATGCATTTAGAGCTATCAGACACTGAATCAGAGAAGATATTATGAAAGAGTTATGAATGAGTTTTCTCATTTTATTTTTATTAAGCAGGGTTTAATTGCCTAAAGGGACGAGTGTGTGTAGTGTGCGCTGTGTGTGCGGTTCATTATACAGAGCTTCAACAAGCCATCGCTTCTCAGAGCTTCTCATCTTCAATATCCAACTAGATGTCTGATCTAGATGACCCAAACTGAACCTGCACAGGCCCAACAGAAACAAACGGCACGCTTTAAACACAGCTCTTTGTCTCACAGTGTGATTTCCTTACTCACCCACAGAGGGGGCAAATGAGGCGATTCTCGCTGGCCCTGCCGTGCAAGCAGCTGGCACAGAAGATGTGGTAGCAGTCCAGAAGACACGGCTGGCGGTACTGCTCGTGGCACAGGTGGCACACCAGGGGATGAAGGCTGGCACAGTCCGGAGCCCACAGGTCATCCAGAGGGAAAAGGGGTAAACCGGCCATCTGAAGAACCAGAGAGAGAGAGAGAGAGAGAGAGAGAGAGAGAGAGAGAGAGAGAGAGAGAGAGAGAGAGGTGCTGAGGAATTCAGAAAGCACAGGTTACACATTAAAGGAATCCTCCAGTGTTTTTCGGTCTAATCCAAATCTGCTGCATCTACATCACACGGCCGATTATCACATACAGCAATTTCAGCACATTTTACTGCGCTTAGAAAATAACAGAAAACCCTTCGACTAGAAATTAGCTAATTATAGGAGTCAGTAGGCAGATCCTTAAGCTTTAGCACTTTACTAAGTACAAGTAGGGCGGAATGATTAATCATTTTAACCTTGAAATCGCAATATGAATAGGTGCAATTTTCAAATGACACAAACAATTGTAATTTGAAAACCTACATACATCATCTAAACCGCTTATCCTTCTGGGTCATGGTGGGGTGCTGGAGCCTATCCCAGCTGTCATTGGGCGGAAGGCAGGATACACCCTGGACAGGTCACCAGACCATCGCAGGGCAGACATACAGACATACACACTCACACCTAGGGGCAATTCAGCATGTCCAATTAGCTTAACTGCATGTTTTTGGACTGTGGGAGGAAACCGGAGCACCCGGAGGAAACCCACGCAGACACGGGGAGAACAGGCAAACTCCACACAGAAACGACCCTGGTCACCCGGCCGGGAATCGAACCCAGGCCATTCTTGCTGTGAGGTGACAGCGCTACCCACTGTGCCACCGTGCCGCCCAATTTGAAAACCTGTGCAGGTAAATTTTTTATTCATCAGGGTGCAAAAGTTTTATGCACTCTCAGAAATAAAGGTGACTAAACTGTCTCTGGGGCAGTGCCCCTCTTATCACTGGAGTGGAACCCTCAAGGGTCCATCTCAGTACCTTCAGTCAGGGAACATAACTGAACCATAATCCACTGAAATGATATGTTCTAAGCTGTACTGACTCCACACACCCCGTCTCGTCTCCAGGCTTTTATTTTACTGTTCTGTTTAAAACATTCGGTTATGAAAAGGAACAAATACGAACTTTTCACCTGGAAACACTTAAGGTTCACAATCAGACCTTAAAACCGCTGTTGTACCTTTGAGGGAACATTTACATTGTTTGTACCTTGATGAACAAAAATGTACCGGAACAGAACCTTTATTTCTAACAGTGTGTCGCCTCACAGCAAGAAGAGCCTGGGTTCGATTCCCCGGCCGGGCGACCAGGGTCCTTTCTGTGTGGAGTTTGCATGTTCTCCCTGTACCTGTGTGTTTCCTCCCACAGTCCAAAGACATGCGTTCAGGCCAATTGGACAAGCTAGATTGACCCTAGGTGTGTGTGAGATTGTATATGTCTGTTTGTCTGCCCTGCGATGGACTGGCAACCTGTCCAGGGTATTTCTTGCCTTCTGCCCAATGACCACTAGGCTCCAGCACTTCCCCTGTGACCCAGAAGAATACACGGTTTAGAAAATGTGTGTGTGTGTGTGTGGAGATAAGACGGGGTGTGTGGAGTCAATACAATTTAAAAATATATAATTTCAATGGATTATGGTACAGTTATGTTCCCGATCTGAGGATTCTGAGACGTACCCTTGATGGTTCCATCCCAGTGATAGTTTTGTACCTTTTTTTCTGAGAGTGGAAAAGGGGACCATTTGTGAATTAACTTTAAGTTGGTTCGACAAAGCACTGGCATGCTATTCCAAGTGGTTGATAAGGTGTTGTAAGGTGGTTTCTGTTATCCCAGGTGGTTGTTAAGGTGTTGCTAGACCATTTCTATGGTATCTTAGGTGGTTGCTAAGGTGTTGCTAAGGTGTTGCTAGGAAAGGATATTTGAATTAATTTGAGAACAAGAACAAAACAATCTGGAAAAATGAAACAATGCAAAACTGAAATAAAATGAAGAAAGATAAACATAGCTTTCATTAATCTGGTTATATAAAAGTACAACCCCAAAAAAGTTGGGACGCTGTGCAAAATGTAAATAAAAACAAAATGCAATGATGTGCAAATCATTTAAACTCTATATTTAATTGAAAATAGTACAAAGACAACATATCAAATGTTGAAACTGAGAAATTTTATTGTTTATTGAAAAATATATGCCGATTTTGAATTTGATGCCAACAATATGTTCCAAAAAAGTTTCGACGGGGGAACAAAAAGCGGGTAAATTTGTGTAGTGCTAAAAAAACACCTGGTGGTTGATTGGCAACAGGTCAGTAACATGATTGGGTATAAAAAGAGCATCTCAGAGAGTCTTTCAGAAGTAAAGATGAGGAGGGGTTCACCACTCTGTGAAAGACTGCACCATCAAATAGTGCGACAATTCAAGAATAACATTTCTCAACATAAAATAGCAAAGAACTTCTGCTTTTCATCATCTACTGTACATAATAACATTAAAAGATTCAGAGAATGTTGCGCTGGTACGAGTGGATCAGACACAGCAGTGCAGCTGGAGTTTTTAAACACCTCAGTGTCACTGCTGGACTGAGAATAGTTCACCAACCAAAAATAGCCAGCCAACAGCGTCCTGTGACCACTGATGAAGGACTAGAGGATGACCAACACAAACTGTGCAGCAGCAGATGAGCTATCGTCTCTGACTTTACATCTACAAGGTGGACTGACAAGGTAGGAGTGTCTAATAGAGTGGACAGTGAGTGGACACAGTGTTTAAAAATTTCAGCTGAGAATGACCCCAAATAGTACTTAGGGTCCGTGGGGGTCCTGACCACTGAAGAACAGGGTAATAGGGGGCTAACAAAGTATCAGAGAAACAGATGGACTACAGTCTGTAACTGTAGAACTACAAAGTGCACCTATATAGTAAGTGGAGCTGATAAAATGGACAATGAGCATAGAAACAAGGAGGTGGTCATAATGTTATGCCTGATCGGTGTAAATTATACAGAAACTAACCAGCTTAGATTTCCTTACAGTGAAGAATTCACAACAAACCACTCTGAATGACTGATGAACAATTTATGGAATTCCCATTTTAAATACTACTCATTCACTCTTCATGCAATTTCGATGCAACTTATGAAGAAATTAAACCTAAATATATTCACAGACTAACACTAGACCTGAACGATTTGGGGAAAATATCTACTTTGCAGCCACGATTTAAACCATGATTTTTTAAATAAATTAAGATTCTGGCCTGGTTTATTTTGGCCAAGAAGACCAAAATATCCACCTTTCCTGGCTTGAGGCTCGACCCCTGAACACAGCGTGCCAAACCGCCAGTAAGTTGTGGTTGTGATGTCACAACACGTGGAGGTTTGGTTGCCTCTGATTGGTCTAACTCACCTACAGGCATTTCCCAAACTCTTATTAGGTTCAGTTTCCCATCTTAGAACTTAAACCAACATTTCTGCTAATGTACATGCTTACAAAAGATGTTCTTCAAGGGTTCTTTAGTGGTTCTTTAGTAAAGATAATGGTTCTATATAGAACCATAGACACTCAATGACTCACTTGCATGCTTAAAAAGTTCTTTGCATGATGAAATGGTTCTTTAAATTTATGGACATTGCAGTGTATATATGGTTCTATATAGCACATTTGTGAAAAGGGTTCTATACAGCACCAAAATGTTCTTCTACTGTTACAAGCTTGACAGTGTAACAATAGCAGAACCCTTTTTGGTGCTATATACAGCCATATACAGCACATTTTCCTTCAATCTGAGGAACGATTTCACCATGTGACGAACCATTAAAGCATGCAAATGGGTCTTTCAGTGTTCATGGTTCTATATAAAAAGATTGTCTTTACTGAAAAACCATCTTTCATAAGAACCTTGAAGAACTTTATCTTTTTTAAGAGTGTACGCTATAATTTAAAAATATTGCAGCTCTTGCGATTTCGATATTTAAGCGATTAATCTTTCAGCTCTAGTCTAACATTAAACAAGATTCACTCTTTGAAATAATGCACTTTCCCACCAGCAATACAGTTTCAAAGCTTTACATCACTTACCTCACCTTACCTTATCTTACCTTACCTCGCCTCTAAACATTTCATGAAGCAAAGGGAAAACTTTTTTTTTTCCAAATCTTTTTATTGCATTTTGTAGAATCACAAACAAGGCGTGCTTCTGCATCAACCCCTAACCCTTCGACCTTAACCCACCCACCCCCTTAGAACCCATACTTCCCGCTAAAGCTGCTCCCGGGGATCTGACAGAGATAAACAGAATATCTACCAGAACAGGAGTGGTCTAAATCAATATGTAAATAATAATAAACATAAATAACAAACTACAATATGTACAAATGTATAAATAAAATTGGGGAGGGGGGTAAATAAATAAATAAAAAATAATAATAATTAAGAAAAAAAAAGAAAAAACCTCTCGATTCACATATTTACGCATCGCTATCTTCTTCGAGTGAAACACAGGTCCTGTGAAAGGATCTCAAGGAACCCCTCAGGGAAAATCTTAACTATTCAAGCTTGATGCATAATAGAACTTCCCGGATCCGACTATCATGCGATGGAGGAGAGGCCTGTTTCCATTTAAGAAGAATGGCACTTCTGGCCAGTAAGGTTGTGAAGGCAATAACACACTGTGAGGTTGCAGGCAGGCACGAATGAGGGGTGATGCCAAATAGGGCTGTTAAGGGATTAGTGCCTAAATTACAGTTGAGAACTTGATTGACAGTGTCAAATATATTAGACCAAAAACTAGTAAGTCGGGGGCAAATCCAGAACATATGGCGAAGGGAAAACTTTGACAGAACTCTTCGTAACAAACGTGGAGTGAGAACGGCGGTGGCAGTAAACCTGAATCATTGGACTAAGAAATGGTGGAAAGGTGTGACTGGGGAACGTCATGCCTGACACACATTTTTTGGTGCTGTTTTTCTTTCATTCTTGAATCAGAACAAAATTTTGGACTGAATTACATACAAGACGACATTCAAATTGCGATTTCAATATTAAAACGATTAATCTTTCAACATTAAATAAGATTCACTCTTTGGCAAAATGCACCTTCCCACCAGCAATACAGTTTCAAAGCTTTACATCACTTACCTTATCAGCTTTCCTGTAAACACTAAGACGAAGTATCCAAAACAGTTCTTGAGTCATTTACCGAAGCCATATTGCATCGCTGGCTCTTGTGTCGTTTGTGGATCCTTCAAAATGGCCAAGAAGTTCTTCTTACGTTCCCCTGAGTGGGCCGATAGTGCTAGTGATGAAGTGAGTGTGAGTTAAAGGCTCTCTTCCTCCCTGGATGGCCAGCGAGGACCACAGTAAGCTGCCGGTTTGCCACTCCACCGCCCTGACCACTATCTACTGCAGGAATGACAGCAATGCTGGGAGCTTTCATAGAGAGCCTGACGCCAAGCAGCTGCCATCCAGGGCCGAAGCCTGCGTGTGAGGGGCTAAAGAGAAGAGTGCAGGGGGGTGGGGGTATGAAGGGGGGGTGCTAGAATCAAAGCTGAACCCGAACATGACAAAAGAGAAACCAGATACCATGGCCTCGGTGAGCGGGGCTAAATTAATTCTACACTTAAATCCTCTTTGCTTTGGAGTATCACTGTTCTCTCACCTTTGTTTATAGAACACACGGTGACCTGAGGGCAGCTAGTTTGACAGATGAGACAGAAAATGTTTACTAGTAAATTAGTGAAGTGGTGACCTTATGACCTCCTGAGCCTCTTCATTGGTTCATAACACACATATACAGAGTTACAGTTATTAACTTCAGCTCATCTGTCGCTGCACAATTGACTGTATGAGAAATTATGATTGACATGCCTCAATAATGAAATAAAAACAGCACCAGAAAATGTGTGTCAGGCATGACGTTCGTCAGTCACACTGTACTGTTCTCCGTCAATGTACTCAAAGAGTAGCAGTCAGCTAAACTCTTCTTATCACCAAGTCCTCCCAGGAACAGGCAGCGTGTTGTAATTGGCAGGTTTAATGATGAAAGGTGTGAAACTGAAGAAATATATAGAATTTGAATAAATAATGAAACTGTAATATACTGTAATATACTACAAACAACAAAGGAATAAACTACAGATGCATACAGAGATCAACACTAAATAGAATTTAACTAGAAGACTTTCTTGCTGACCGGACTAGAAGTTACACAGTCATAATATGAAAAGCTTCTTTAAAACATTTGCTTGAATAATTAGATTAATAATAGACAACGTTTATATATAAAACTGCCTGATAATGCCACATTTAAGGAGCAAAAACAGGACAGCAGATGTGAAAGACAACAGTATCAGTAACAGGCTCAGACATTCCTCTGAGCCAATCAGAATCGGCTCTAAACGTTCCATTAAGCGAATGGAAAACGACAGAACTCTTCGTAACAAACCTGCAGTGAGAACGGCGGTGGCAGTAAATTAGCCCGAATTATTGGACTGAGAAATGGTGGAAAGGTGTGTGTTATGGAACCCTTAAGATACCACAGGTCTGTCTATTGGATTCTAAGTTTCCAAGCATTCTTTCACTGTTTAGATTTAATCATACAGTTGATTGTTTATTTTTAAGACGGTGGCAGTTACTGATACTCTTGTCTTTCACATCTGCTGTCCTGTTTTTGCTCCTTAAATGTGGCATTATCAGGCAGTTTTATATATAAACGTTGTCTATTATTTAATCTAATTATTCAAGCAAATGTTTTAAAGAAGCTTTTCATATTATGACTGTGTAACTTCTAGTCCGGTCAGCAAGAATGTCTTCTAGTTAAATTCTATTTAGTGTTGATCTCTGTATACATTACTAGTTTATTCCTTTGTTGTTTGTAGTATATTACAGTATATTACAGTTTCATTATTTATTCAAATTCTATATATTTCTTCAGTTTCACACCTTTCATCATTAAACCTGCCAATTACAACACGCTGCCTGTTCCTGGGTGGGCTTGGTGATGAGAAGAGTTTAGCTGACTGTTAAATTCAATAACCCTCTTCAAGTACATTGACGGAGAACAGTACAGTGTGACTGACGAACGTCATGCCTGACACACATTTTCTGGTGCTGGTTTTAATTCATTATTGAAGCTCAACAAAAGCATTTGGCTTAAATAACACTCAAAAACATGTTTCAGCTTGCTTTACTGTGCATGCACACATCTCTACAATGAGTTGGGGTTTTCCCGCTTGTGGCTTTACCAGCAAGCCAAACAAGCCAACTGGGGACTTTCCCCATAAAGAGGCGCCATGTTGAGCTCTACAAGCTTTCTCCTTTGCTTTCCAACCAGTGACCTGTCTCCTCCTTTATAATGTCTCTGCGGTTCCGCAAATGTGTGCAAAAGATGATCCTCCTTAGCATCTAATATTGATCAGCATTAGCTTTAGCATGAGCTCATCTGAACTGGTAGCTTCCTTCACTAAAATTTCCTTATTAGACATGAAACCCTGATACTTTAGCCTTTGTGTGGTTTCTAGAGTCATTTTATGTTCACTTTAAAATGGCCAACATTCATATTTTGTTAACGGGTCATTCTACAGAAACGTCCACTTTTCTGTCTCTCCATAGGAGTCACTGGTGTTACTGATCCTCATTGGTGTTACATAATAAAGGAAACACCAGAGACATTTTAACGAACAATGCATTTTACAAAACGGCTGCTACAGAGCATCAAACCACATGTTGTCAATCATGGAACATCCACTAAAATATGGAATTTAATCCATTTGTATTCTATTTTTTTCACAGTTACCTCAGAATAAAGTCGGTCACACCAGTGACTTCAGCTAAAAGCTTCATATGAAATCATGAGCTGAATGAGAAAATCTCTGATAACTGAAAGACACAGTGGACTCACCATGTGCTTTTCTTCATAGATCCTCAGAAAACAGGTAAAAGGAAGTCAAGTGATGTCATCAGTGTGAATTTAAATTTTAAAAGAAGAGATTTTTGTTACGACTTTCATTATATATTTAATAATATTTATTTGGCATTTGTTTTCTTTATGTTATTTAAATCATATATTTCATAGTCATGTATAGATTATTGCAGTTAGAATTGCAGGAAATCATGTTTTTCACCTCAAAATATGGCCTCAGCCTTCACACATGACTGTGAGGACGAGCTCTTCTGTGGTGCTTGGAATTCTATATGATTGATTTAAAAACCAATATTGCTGAATTGAGGCTCAAGAAGGTGTAATTGTTAAAATATATCTGTAAATGCTAGGGACAAAAAAAGGTTTCAGATGAACTCCTCTGTGTGCTCAAGTGCTTCTAAATGTTCCTTTGTACTACAGAGGTTTTTAATCTGATGGCGTTTTGGATGCTGCCCAGTCACCTGAGCTGAAATTTTGCTCGGACGTAGCTGAGAACTTTGCAATTGGTCAGTTTATCAGTCCCCCTCTGTCCATCAATGGAAAAGGAGCACCATAGGACCACTGCTGACCATCTATCACTGGCCAGATGGAGCATTATCAGCACAACAGTTAAAGTTACTATTTTTGAGCTGCATTTCTTCTTTGGAGAGCGACGACATGCTGATTTTACTGCTGACCAGCTTCCAAAATCTCCAAAATGGTAACTTTACAGGGGAAGGAAAAAGCCTACTTTACTTCTAATGATAGTCAATGGAACCAGACGTCTTTCCAGGTCATTTTAGGCCACTTTATTAATTATGACCACGAGCCAGTAACTCAGTTATGAGAAGCTGGATCATAATTATGAGATGCTAAGTCGTAATTCTGAAATATTATATGACACAGGATCTCATTATTATGAGACAGCAAGTCATACTAACCTCACTGCACGAACAGGGTCGTGAACTCTTTCACACCAGAGAGACCCGATCGCCTCGTTCTATCGATGAGCTCTGGGCCCGATTTTCTGAGTCGGGCTCAAAGCGCATGCGCGCCCTCTCATCTCCCTTTCTGCCTGATCTGTCCGCCATGGCTCCGCTTGTAAGTACAGACCCGTCCCCGAAAACCCCGAATAACTCGCGTTTCGCCCCGCGCTGGAGTCCGAAAACGATGTGGGTTTAATTGGAGGTCCTCGTCATTTTTCGAGGCTGGTCGGAAGCGGGTTAGGCGCTGCGGGCGCGGGTTTATGGGCGTTTGTTTACGGGCTGGTTTGGCGAGGCCGCGACAAACCACGTTGTAGGCCGGAAAGCTAAGGCTTAGCCGGAGTGCTAACCTGGCTTAGTTCTGTGTTTTGCCAGCTTTTCATCGCACAAAGCTCACCTTTTATCTGTAGTTTAGCGGGGAATCGGGGAGCAGGAGAGGAGAAAGCAGCCTGAGCTGTTTATCGTGTCGGTGAGGAGTGTTGGTTAGCTAACCTAGCTAACAGGAGTGATCCTGGAGGGTCCAGCCAAGTTTAAGGCAGGACCCCACAACATACACATTTCTGTGCTTTCTCTTCATCTGTCAGGTCTGACTTAATTAAAAGAAACTTAAAATGTTAAAAGTCTGCTGTAGGTCCGCAGACAGGGAGCCAGGTTTTCTCAGAAGGCTGAAAGTGAAGGATTGTGCCTTAACTGTCATTTTGGCATTGAGTTAAAGTAGTAAGGTAAATATTACTCCAGTAAAAGTAGAAGTTCCTCCCTTTAGACCTCCACTTGAGTAAAAGCCCAAAAGTATTTGCTTTTAAATGTACTTAAGTGTCTAAAAGATTAATTATGACTTTAATGTCCTGTTATAATTTTTGTAACAAGACTCGCTTCATTAACTCATTTTAGGTGAAAATACTCCAGTGTCTCTCTTGGTAAACCAGTCTTTTAATAGTCATTAATTAGTGACGCTGATGTCTATTAAAATTATCATAAGCACAAAACACTTAAGGCGAACAGTTTCCATCGGGTTCCATTGCAAACATGTAAAGTTTCAGTTTAAGATTTATTTGAACTTAGTTACAAGTTTAATAAAAAACTTTAAACTCAGATTCACAAATGAGTTTCCTTTACTAAACTGCATCTGTAGGTCTGTTCATAAACATAAACTAGCCAAAACTAATTTACTATAGAATGAAAGTGTTTGTATAAATTGAGAAAAAAGACACGTCAGTCACAACTGCATATGTGTACATGTTTCTATATTGTGGTCTATTTACACAAAGTTTGGTTAGAGTCTGGAGTTTTACAGTTGCACTGTCGTTGAACTGTGTGCTGCACTGGGTCTGAATGTCCAACAGGTCAAAACAAGCTCAAAACAAAGTGACCGCTGTGCCCTGATTGGTGTTCTTGCTTTGCGCTTCTTTCGTTTTGACATGTTACGTTTTTATATACACAAACCGAAAGGAATGACAGATTTCTCATAATGTAGTGGAGTAAAAAGTGAGATATTTGACTTTGAAATGTAGCAGAGCGAAAGTCAAAAGTCACCCAAAATGGAAAAACTTCAGTAAAGTACAGAAACACGAAAAACTAAGTACCGTAACGAATTACATTTACTTAGTTACTGTCCACCTGCATTTTGGAGAGGCTTGACTTTTTGCTAAAGTGTCCAGGGACGTGCTAACTAAGCAACAGGTTGTTGATTAAGCTGGTAAGTTGGATCAGGTGTGATGAGAACACGAAGATGTACAGGACAGGGTCACTCCAAGACTAGGGTTAGTAACTACTGGCTTGCGGGAGAGACCCTAAGAATATATACCCTGATCCTAACAATGGGGGTCCAGCTCAGTTTGGTGAGCTCCTGCCTACTAAACCTGTATATTAACAGATAAGCTCAATTAAGCTTGTTAAGCAGGTGAATTCGCCAAACTGCTGGGATTGGAAAAGAATGTTGGTACATTTAGTATTTGTGAAACCGATGCTGAGCCCGTCCTTCTATCACTGTCGTTTTCTACCCTAGTCCTGGGACCCACTGCCCTGCAGAGTTTCAGCTACTCCCTGTCGTTAACACAGCTGATCCACCTCATCAGGTAATTAATAAACTCTTCATAAGCTGAATCAGCAGGCAGAGAATACCTGTGCAGGGCAGTGGGTCCTCGGGACTGGGATTGGACACAAATGCTCTATAACATTGGGAGCTCAGGCCAGTTTGTCAGTGCCTCTGCTCTACCACACCTACTAAAGCTGGCCGTTAACTGATAAGTAGGGAAACTGCCAAACTTTGAGGTCTCCAACCTTAAGCTGCCTCCTGTTTCGAATTTGCTTTAACCCATGAGCTGAATCAGGTGTGTTGGAGCAGAAAGGTCAGCAGACTCTGCTGGACTGTCCCGCTCAGTGCTAACTGGATGGGGCAGACATGGGTCATATTTGTTAAAATCAGCATTTTGGTGGAAACAGTGACGTCCATTTTGTTAATGATTAAGGAGGCCTCACCTTTTTGACATGCTAGTAGTAAATCGTTCATTGTTTTAATAACAGGTGTGTCGGTTTGTTACCTGTAAAAACTTAAACTGCTGGCTTTGCTCCTTCTGTTGTGGATGTTAGGCTAATTGGTTTGGATGCTGCTTCTTTGGTGGTTTGGTTTCATTGCATCTTTGGCCAGAGTGGTTTGGTAACAGTTAATGGAGTTGATGAAAAAGCTAAAACATTTGGAAATGGTGTATAACTACCTTATGGCAATTTAGTCTGGTCTGTGCATTTACAATTTGACCTTCATCCATGCATGCATACATACATCCTTCCATCCATCAGTACATGCATCCATCCATCCATCCATCTACCTATCCATCAATGCATACATCCATCCATACATCCATCCATCCAACCATCCATGCATACATACATGCATACATTCTTCCATCTATTAGTGCATACATCAGTACACGTATACACACATGCATCCATCCATACATACATGCATGCATATGTTATTCCATCTATTAGTGCATACATAAATGCATATATACACGCATCCATCCATACATGCATGCATGCATACATTCTTCCATCTATTAGTGCATACATGCATCCATCCATACATGCATCCATCCATACATGCATGCATACATTCTTCCATCTATTAGTGCATACATCAGTACATGTATACATCCATCCATCCATCCATCAGTAACATTCATACATACGTCTATGCATGCATGCATACATATATATTCATCCATGCATACAACCATACATTCATACATACACACATACATCAATACGCATGTACGAACATACATAAATGTATGTATATATGTCAGTTTGTATGTAGTAGTAAATGTTTAGATTCTTAGGGGAATCTGTGTCTTGCATGATTGTGGCTGTTAACCCTGAGGATGTGAAGCATTAAGCGTTGATGTATGACTGTGTTTACAGAAGAAGCCAATAGTAAAGGGTGGCAAAAAGAAGAAGCAGGTCCTGAAGTTCACGCTGGACTGCACCCACCCTGTTGAGGATGGCATCATGGACGCTGCGAACTTCGTAAGTGTGCAGAACGTTCAGTCACGCTGCCTGAACGGTTTGTGTTCCTGTGTTGTAAAAGTGCTCTGACCATTCTGTTCTTACTTTAACACAAGATCAGTTTGGACAGTATATCCGTTTTCAGCTTTGCCTTAAAACTATACAGAAAAGGCTGTTTTTGTACGTGGGAATTTATTAATTTGCTGTTAATTATGAAAGGCTTTAATCACTCCAAGTGCACTGGTTGCATTGCAAGCAAACAACATATGAACAGTTACTCGTGAGAAGAATATACTGATGAATCAAATAGTGTCCTGCCCAGGCCTGTTTATATGCATTATCACAGGTGTCCTCACTACTAGGGGTGTAAATCTCTCACTTAACAATTTGATTGATTTCTTTAGGAAAGGAGTATAATGAAATCTCAGTTTTCATCATGGTACGATTCAGAAACCTTTGATTTGAAAATGCCCTCAACTCAGTTTTGGGGGGGAAAGAGCGTACCTTTGAATTTTACAATCTATTCTAACGTTCAGAATTGATGCAGTTGAATTACCACTTGCAGAATTATTCATCAGTGCTTTACACCCCGGTCAAATTTAAGAAATGCAAAATTGTTTATTGTTTCAGTAGCATGCACAGTAGATTTCGGCCACAGTATAGCGAACTACCATTTGATTTAGTTGGATATGCACAGCCCATGATGTGGTTTGGTCTTAAATGCTTATTTATAGGAGCAGTTCCTGCAAGAGCGCATCAAGGTGAATGGTAAAGCTGGGAATTTGGGTGGTGGTGTGGTGTCCATTGAGAGGAGCAAGAGCAAAATCACAGTGACATCAGAGGTCCCGTTCTCCAAGAGGTAGGTTTGCAATCTGTGTTTGTAGGAAGTGTGTATGACTTAGCGCACTGTGCCTGATGAACTCGTAAAAGTGCAGCTCGCACTACCGTGTCAGTGTCGCTGCAGTGCTGAATGATTCAATTTAATTATTTCCCCCATTTCAGAGGGAAGATTTCAACCACTACCACTTGTAACTCTGTTCCAAGGGGAAAGGTGAGACTTGGCTAGGGGTAAAAATAAGAGATGCGATTGGGCCTTTGGGGCAGGGAGATGGCTGAAGGTTTCTCCTTTGCTGGCTCAGCTCTTCAGCCTCTTTCCTCTCACTTAGACAGCTGGGATGGTTAAAAGCTTACCGTTTTTATTTTCATTGCTGTTATCACTACGACTATGAACAACACAACACACCATGGTTGTGTTTCATCTATCAGGACTGTTTATTAACCAAAGGTGTACAAACAGTGGCTCTACGGGTGCCGCTGTCGCTGCCATCACCGCTGCGTTGACTGGTGGTATGTCAATAATATGATGGCAGCGAAGTGTGACATCAGTGGAATACTATCTATACAGCATGACCTGGGCCAGCCTGAAGTGCATACACCATAGTTTAAACATTAATCAGCATAAAGTCGGTACCTTGCAGCTTTTAAGCCTTTTTTTGTTTGGTCATGGGACCAAATGTATTGGCTAACAATGATGTCCAAAATGGTAACTTTACAGGAGAGGGAAGAACACACTTTACTTTGAATGCAAGTCAATGGAACCAGACTTTTTTCCGAGTCACTTTGGTCCATTTGTTTTGGTCCATTCATCATGAAATTTACACACAACGTAAAGAGCAACAGGCATTTTCAAATTATGTCAAAAACTGAAAAACAACAAAAATGGAGATACAAGGTTTTCTTCCGACAGCAGCGATTTGTAGACAATAGCTTAAGGCTGCACTCAGCAGAAGCAGCATGTTTAAAGAGTCATTTGTAGCCTGCCTGAGCACCGTCATCTGCCTGTACAAATATAATTTATCAGAAATTACATTAACCTTTTAACGAAAAGCATTTGTGTCAGCTGGTTACTTAGTTAATTGTTAACCTCCCTGCTTTTATTACCATGCTGTACTTAGAGCTGGGCGATATGGCCAAAAAGGTTATCACGATAAAAACATTTCATATCGTTCGATACCGATACTTATTGCCATAAATGTCAAATCATTATTTCTTTCAAGTTTGAAGGCTGATTTTTGCTCCTGAGTGGTTAATTGCTCTTTTAAACTATCCTTTATGGTCAGAACATGACAACATGACAAACACTCACCAGCCAGTGGAACATTTCACTAATCTGTCAAGGGGCAGTGGGAGAAAGTGTCTGGTCAGCTGTTTACCAGCTGGAAAAGCACGGCCACAGTTTTTGTAATAGTCATAATTTAAGAAAGGAAAGATTATTTTTAGCTGTCTGGTGACGAGCGCTCGGCTATCCCGTTACAAATGCTAAACAAGTGACCAACAACAGTGCTAAACTATTTAGTTTGTCAACAATGTCAGCTTGGTACGAACAGCAAACATTAGCTGGCTCGGTAGGTCAGTGATGAATCACACCACCTTACTGCCGTCACTCCTACCACATCCACATCAGAGCATATCACAGTATACAGACAGCAGCTAGCGACCACTGGGTTTCTCTATAGTAATTTGAGGGATGAACCACAATATCAACACGACAAACAGAGTCTGACTTTTAGGTACGTTTAAACTGAAAGCGGTGCTTTTGTGTCGTGTTTGATCTACAGTAACATCAATTCTCCGTGTTGTGGAGTGACGGAGCTGCTTCAAGTTAGCCAGCTGCTAAAAACAGCTAGCCTGGAAAGCTAGCGCTCTCCCGCTCTCCAATGCCTCACAGCTTCCTCAGGTTACTTTCGTTTAAATCAGGACTGTAAGTTGCATAAAATATGACTGAGCGCTGTAACAGTGCTGTAGTTGAGAGGATCAGACATGATTTAACGCTGCTAAAGCTGTTAGGATGTTAGGAAAGAGGTGAGTTCACTGTAGGTCAGTACAGTTACACCACTGACCTTGTCATTCACACTCGGTCACAGGAGAGCAACAGGGAATGTATAATTCTGCGTTTCAGACATCGCTAAAGCATATTTTGCGACTCATTTTACTCGTCGCGAGTAAACTAGAACGTGGGAGTGTGAGAGGGGTCTTTTGTCAGATTTATCAAACATTTCTTATAGTTCTATCGAGGAAAGTTATGTCGCAATAATTATCGTTATCGTTTTATCGCCCAGCCGTATCTGTACCTTAGAACTGCTTAAGCCTTATCTGATGGTTTTACCTGCAGAATCAGAATGGATCTCGTCGAGGTCCTGTGTAGTGCAGGTTTGCAGGCACTCGCTGCCTTGGCAGGAAGAGTTCATCCTCAATGAATTACATCTGGTTTCTTCCTAAGCAGAGTAGATGTGCTTTGATGATCCTTCAGTCGACTTCGGCTCTTCGGCTTTCAGGTTGTAGTAGGCAAGACTTCAGCTTCAGCGTCCCACACCTCTGCCCCATGTACACTTCACTGCAACTACCTTTGCAGAAATGAGTGGATCCTGAATGCAGTTGCCTGAATTCTGCATTGTCACCTTAATGCTCTTGCGGTTTCCATACCAGCAGGCTTAACTATTCCCACCTTCCCATAATCCCTGCAACTCTGATTGCATGCAGAGCACTTTTATCCTTCCCGAAGGCTACGCTATAAGTGGTTAGGCGAGGCAGCAGAGAAAGTGCCCGTTCCCTCCTGGGTTGCTTTCTTACGGCACCTTTAATGCATTTCACCCAAAATAAAGCCGTGATGATGATGAGACTATACAGCGATCCTAGCAGTAAATACATAAAAGCAACATCCCTCTGAATAGAGACCATAGTCAGAGGAAGAACATCGTATCTGGTTTTCCAGTTCTGCCTCTTATTGGAAATGCAACCTTTCTAACTATGCAGTTATACATATTAGGATTTAGGGCCACTGCAGCAAACCCTGACTGACCAGTGATGCAGTCTGTGACCTTAATGTCAAACTGGATGAAACTTAGAAGTTAAAAAATCCACTTTATTCATTCGGGATTCAGGACATCTAAGAAATCAGAACTCGGGTTATATCGAATATGGACTGGACAGATCATTAGAAGCCGGCTGTCGCGGTTTTAGGGAATGTTCTACCGGTCGGCGCTTTGCCGCTCGCTGCTAATCATTTTCTGGTGCTACATTAACTCTCTGGCGGTTTGAGTCAGTGGCTTAGACTGTTAAGACACTGCCCGATCAGAAACACCTTCCCTCGGTGAAGATGGGTGAAGATGAGGATGGTAGTAGAGAAAAATCGTCAGCCTCGTAAGACTCAAAAGTGCCTTTTGATTCGGTCTCTCTCCATATTTTCTGGTAGCTAACGTACGCTAGCTCTAAAAACACCACAGCCCAGCCCACCCGGTTTCCCTCCCAGCCCCACAAAGTTGAGTCAGGGGTGGAGTCAGCTGAACATAGTGGGGTATAGTTACTCTTTAACAAGGTGGGTGAATGTAGCCTACAGGAAACATTAGCTTGAATAAGCAGATCAAACATTCCACTAAATTATTAGCTCCCCATCTATCTGTACTGTTTATTCTCAGCCAAATGTAGCTGTGTATTTGTAGCACTGCTTGTGCTACCCTGGGCTCAAGGAGGACGCTGGAGAGAGGGTTCAGGGCTGCAGCAGCCATGTTTCTTTAATCACACACCAAATAAATACAAACTCAAACAAGACAAAACCAAAGATACACTACGCTAAGCTGGCCACTTTTCAGTGGCCTCTAGCAACAGACTTTTCAGTTTTTTTACTCAAGCTTTTCAGCTCTTCCTCAGTCTTTTGTCATTTCTGCTGCTGCTCGTCCCTCCCCTCTCTCTCTCTCTCTCTCTCTCTCTCTCTCTCTCTCTCTCTCTCTCTCTCTCTCTGTTCCCTCTCAGCTCTTTAAAAGGCCCTCACGCTGCCAGCCAGACCAGCATCAGCTGGCTCTCATTAAGGGCACCTGAGTCGAGAGGGAACGAGAGCTCGCCGCTCCACCTCCCCGTCACCCCCAGCTTGCAGCTCAGCCACCTGGGTCACGTAAGGTGTAGTGAAGCGGCCTCACTGCGTACCAGGGGGAGGGGCTTGGGCGGCGGACCTCGGGACTCGCTCGTGCCTCTTGTGTGGCCGGCACCGTCCTCCTCATCCTCCTCGTTGCGCCATCACTCTCGTGACTCGCGTCCCTCGGGGAAGCTCAGGCTTTGCGCTCCGCCCCCTCCACACTCGCGGCTCTCTCCCTGCCGTCCTCAGCAAGGTCCGTGGCCGCCGGGTGTGCCACAGTATTGTTAAATTGGTTTACCTGTTCACATCACTGTGGTTAGAGGACTAGTGGGAGAAAAGTGGTACCTCCTGTATATCCACAGGTCATTTACTGCTGTGGCCTGTGCTGCCTGGTCTCTTACACATCTCTTGAAACACTGGCACATGCACTTTATCAATGTGCAGCTGCTCAGTTTGAGCATGGGCTATTTTATTTTGCTGTCCCATTCAGTAGTCTGGCAAACCACCCGGTGCGGATGACTTCACTAAGAGGAATGAGGAAACTAATTCATAGAGGAAGCATTAAATTTAATCTGATTTTAATCTCAATCCTGAATTATGAATATATGCTGGTTGACTAGGCTTATGGTGATCGGTTTATGTGTAATTTCATTGTGATGAAGGATTTTAAAATGTCCAACTAAATTCAGTTATTCTAAGACGCTGGGCTGGACTAAGACGTGTACAATGGCTATATAAAAGACTCGTCCATTTATAGCGACGTTTAGATGTACAGCAGCGCAGTCTGATTTTATCCTGTGGAGTGATGCACCTGCAGTGTTCAGCGTTCTGCCACCCCCCCAGTCTCTAAGCTGTCATTACATAACTCAAATTAAGTTTAACCTTTTCAACTCCTTGACAACACCGGTGGTTCCAATCGCACTTTGTCATATTCTTCATAACTTTCTTGTTTCATAAGCTACATTCTAAAGGTGGGGGTCGTATGAGAGCTGTAACTGTCTTCTCTCCAGTCAAATAGATGGGTGATGTCATTTTAAACCCTTATAATAAAAGAAGCTGAACTCAGTTATTTTGTCTACTGATAAAATATAAACATTATTTTTATATAAAAGAGCGTCTAAGATTTTTGGCTTTCAGCAGTAAATTGTAAGCATATAGCAATGTGTATCATAAAACACGTTCTGTTAATTTGAGGGGAGCTTTTAAACAAATAAATAATAAAATTTGCATTGATTTCATGCAGTTACTGAATAATTTGCCTTACGATTTGGTCATGTAAATTCAAATGGACAAACCAAAATATACCCTGGAGAATAAGAGGTTAAAAAATTGGTGGTAAAAGTCACATTTTATTTTATTTAACGAATTTTGTTGAATCTAACCATCTACCTGGCTGCCGTAAGTGAATAGTGGTACTAACTTTGTTAGCTTGGAAATTGTCTTTAGGACAATACATATCTGCTTGATTTTGGCCACAAAGCCTCTGTGCCCAAGAAAAAGTGAAAGAAATGTACTGCAAATTATTTATCTACATTGCAGTTACTACAGGATTAATAAAAACTGGGGTAGGCCTCGGTGATTTGGGGAACATTGAACAAATTTTTTCTACTAATATTGCAACTACAATTTAAATTGTGAATTTTTCTTTGATTGTTCATGGTTCTATATAAAATGATTGTCTTTACTGAAGAACCATCTTTTTTAAGAATCTTGAACTATCTTTTTTGAGTGCAGGCCATAATTAAAATTGCACCGTCTTAAATTGTGATTTTGATATAAAAACGATTAATCTTTCAGCCCTAAACTGGGGTTATATCTGCAGTTTGTTTATAGTAGGTAAAATAGGAATCTCTACTGATGTGGGAGCACACAGTTCATTAAAAAGACTGATTCCAGCTGAGAAATATCAGTAATAATACATTACTTCACCTCCCCATGACTTTCATCTAATTCTGCCTATATAGTACTTTAGACTAATGAACCACTGGTGTGCATGTAAACTTAAAGGAGTTCATTCTTCTGTTGTACAGACGTAAATTTATATCCATCCGAGAATTTTCTTTCTAAACTGATCAGATTGTTGACTGTTTATTTCTATAAATAAGGTTTAACCTGCATTGAGACTGAAGTAGATTTACAGGGCCAGGTGTGATCTCGTAAGGACAGTACCACCACCAAGGGTATCTGCTTTGAGAACCCCCTCCTTTGAGCTCTGCTTAACAATATGGTGGATTGGCGTAAAAAATTTCCCACTCAGTTTGTTCCCTAATGCTGCATCTACACTGCTCCAGTACGTCAGCGTGCCGCAACGTATACCGTTCGTTTTCAGTGGGAAGCAGCAGTTCTGTCAGATGCAGCTGCATGGTGTGTGATGGGTTTGGAAAGTCGAGTATGGGGGGTGCGGTGCATCAAAAAGTTGGGCGGAGCTGAACTTCATGCAAGTTACTGGCCTATGCCATGTGTCACCCGCAGGGGTCGCAACCCAAATGTTAAGAAGAGCCATTTTATCCTTTCTACAAAAACACAAACCACCTTGGGAGCCACATTTCATGTCCATTTGCCTGTAAATGTGTCTCAGTATGTGCTGATGTACAAGTATAGGCTAAAAAGATATAAACAAAAACTCAGACTTACTTTTAGCCACTTTTCTCGCATCTCCAGCAGGAAACTTTTCCACAAAACTAGAAACGTTCCACCTTAAATGGTCTCCGAGGCGCCAGAATGTAACTGCTGCACCATTTAAGGTGGAACGGGACAATTCGAAAGAGAAACTGACTTCAGCTTCACGACTTTAGTGTTCGTCAGTTTTTTGCTGCTGATTAAACGTATCAGGAAACCAGCTGGAGTGATTATAAACGCAAATCAGTCCATTCTTCTCCAGATTATCGATGTTCGTCTTGAATCTTCTTTGCTTTTTCGTTAGTTAGTAGCTAGGCGAGATTGTCTGCGCTGCTATGGTGACCAGCGGTCTGCGTGCCGGTCTTTAGGGTTGAAAGTGAATAAGCAGTTCTACATTAACACCAGTGTTTGACCCTTTATTCTTAAAACTGTGTTGAACGACCAGCAGAGCTTTATTTTACTGTAAAGGAGGATTATTTTATTTTTACCTACAAATCTAATTCAGCTGTGGAGCCACAACAGGACTGTAAAAGAGTTGTTGCCGCATGTTGCCGACCGCAGGTCTACCCAATCAGGAGGCAGCTGGTGTTTGCGTGTCTGCAGCTAAGTGGTTCCTCTTTTCAAACGTTGCCTCATGGCACATAAATATATACGTGTATATGCATGTGTATAAACACAATTATTTACCTCAAATTTTAAAAGTGGAGAAATGATTGAATGTTAAACTGAAATGACTGATGACTACAAGTAATAATCAGTGACCTAAATCCTAATCTGTTCAACCTTATTAATGTTTTGGAAAATCTGATTTTAATGATGACTATCTCGACTTTGATTATTTAAAAAAAAAAAAAATAGAAGCAATACTTACAAAAATATCGACTTAGCCGGACTACATTTCAGTCTGATTTCACAGGGAACTCCCTGAGACCACCCACACGCAGCAAACTGACAGGGAAAGATGCGCTCACGTCCATCGTCTATGTTCCCACCCACATTTAGCCCAAAATTTCTAGTTGTCCCCAGACGTTCTTACCAGATCACGTCCAGCCTCGTGAGACTGTGACCGAGATTGGTAATCGTCGTTCTGCTGCGGAGATTGTGGATACCGTTGTTTCCCCAGTTTGGCGGACCCCTGCACTGCACATTTTCACACACCAGTAGTAAAACTCATGAAGGGCTTGTTGATGAGCTGATGAGTCGAGTCAGGTGTTCTGAAGCAGGGAAACACTGAAATGAACAAGAGTACTTGAACAGAATTGGGGGAACACTGGTGTTTACTGATGAGCTTTATCCAGTGCCAACAAACCCCAGATAAAACCCAGCTACACACATTAATGAGGAAGGCAGGCCAGTTCATGCAGTTACTCCAGATCCACACTCCTAAAAGCTATAATGCGTAACGGAAGGGTTGTAATCATGACCGATATTATCAGAGTATAATCGTTATCATCGGTGTTTAATTCAGAAATATTTCAAACTTCTCCATTCTTTGTTTCCAGATACAAGTTTAGTTATATTTATGGCTTCTTTTTATCTATAAAGCGCTTACTGGCTGTATGCAATCGTACATCGCAGAAACGCTCAGTGTAAATAATGCAGTTTATCAGACTCGTTCCAGTGATTGGATCAGCCTTCAGGTGCCGGGAGCTTTTACTGAGCTGGGAAAATCTGCTTTCAGCTGCAGCACCAGCGAACTGGAATTCATTACAGGAAACTTCGCTCTCTGGTGTCACATGAACATTTTAAACTTTGTCTCTAATCACCTCCACACAGCCTGACACTGCTTTATCTGATTTTACTTACTGTTTAATGATTTTTGTATGTTTTAGTTAGTTTTATTTGTGCAGTTATCCGATTATTCAAATAGTCATGTAAACACTGTACTCAGATCTAGAAATCAGATTAAGAAATCCAATAAAGAGGCTGGATTTTAGCTCAGTAATCAGATTTCTCAGTGCATGTGAACTCTTACTCTGATTTCTTTCGGATTTCTCAGTCTGAGCATGTGCGAAAACAGACAGCTGTACCGGAAATAAGCGAGCAGCGTCACCACGAGACGCAGCAAAACACTTTTGGGGTGACGCTGAAACCCAAACACGAAATACAGGATTAAAATATTCTTCATCTTCTAGATGATGTATGTTCATATTTTCAGGTAAAGCGACGCGACGTTTAATAAAAAGCCGCGGTATGAAGTTTGAGTTTTACGTTATGTTTCCGTCGCGTCGTCGTCTTTGAGTTTATTGGCTGGTTGTAAAGCAGAAATCTGATTACTGTCTGACTAATGTAGACCTGGAGTCTCCCCATTATCTGATTTGCTCAAGTGCATTTAAACGCATTGATTGGATTACTGGCAAAATTTGACTTTCTGCAATTTTCGGATTAAGTGCATGTAAACACACTGATTGGTTGCTATAAACATTAAATAATGCTTTTTTGTATGTTTTAGCTATGTCTTGGCTATTGTTTTACATTTGACTATTTTTATTCCTTTAATTTATTTATTATTGTCAGTTTGTCTTTTTGTGTATTTGTTTTTATTTTATCCTTGTCTGTTACTTGTTAAGTTACTATATTGTAATTTTAATGGTTTATTGATTTAACGGTTTATTGGTACCTTCTTATTAAATTTTACTATTATGCTTTTTATTACTTTATAACATTTGACTTCTGTTTACTACCCAAATTCTCAATCCCTGATTTCTATATTGCTTGGCTACATTGTAAATGAGGGTCTCCCTCAGTGTATTCAGAGTTTAGATAAAGGTTGATTGATTATTTGTGCACAGCAGCCCAGATACAAATTGAACCAAACCAAGACGTGTAACTGTACTGTTTACATGATCATATATTAGATTAATATTGAATGGTTGTTGACGTTGTTTCTAATCAAATGATCGATGAAGGGTACGTTACGCAAATGTAGTCTTTATTTCACACACCGCTCATGACAGCTGGCTTCTAATTACACAACATCTGATGTAAATGTTGTTTATTTGCAGGTACCTGAAATATCTCACCAAAAAGTACCTGAAGAAGAACAACCTGCGTGACTGGCTGCGTGTGGTGGCTAACACCAAGGAGAGCTACGAACTGCGCTACTTCCAGATCAACCAGGATGAAGAGGAGGAAGAGGACGATTAAACACACGCTGCCACTCTTTTGGAAATTCAATAAAATTTTCAAAAGAGCCCGTCTGCATTTGTCTTAATTTTGCTTTATGAGCTGAACTCAAGCATTTGAATGTAGTTCCTAGTAGAGCTCCACAAAATTTTTTACAACACTGGCCTTTGCAGTGCTGATATCACAGAAGGCTGCAAATGCAAGTAAGATTTGTAACCAGTCAGAATAGAATCGGAATAGAATACGTCCATGTAAACACCTCAGTCGGAATGGACTAGTATGATTGAGGCCATTTGGAATACAGTTTCTATCCGACTGACCGAGGTGGGTAATCCTGTAAATAATCCATTAAATAGAAGAATAATATCCGTGTAAACGCCTGTATCTGATTACATTCCCCTTCGGAAAGTTTAAGTCCGTTCTGATCATGTTCGTCACGTCATAGTGAGAGTTTATACCATTCAACATGGCGGAGCAGAAACTGGTCAGCAGAGGAGACGAAGTTTATGCTCTGATCTTTAAAAGACGGCGATGGGACGGACGTCCAGCTTATGTGTCTCAGAACACGACGTCTTCCTCTCGGCCTTCTTTAATAAGGACACGTGAAGGACGTTTTCCTGAGTCTGACATCATTTTAAAGCAATTAAAAACACAAACACTGCTCACTGCTGCTCATCTCACTCTGACTGGACTCACGTGATGTTGGTTGTCATGGTAACGTCTACACTAAGTGGTACTTCAGGCATGCATGTCATTTTGGATTGGATTACTTGTAGTGAGCATGTAAACAGATTTTAATCAGATTGTTGAGTAGAGTGAGAATAAACACCTCAGTCTTAATCTATAATCGGAATGAATTTAATCAGTTTGGCAAAAATCTTTGCATGTAAACACAGACAGTGTTCTGTGTGCTGTGAAAATTCTGACCAATCACAGTTCAACAGTGGATGTGTTGATAAATCACAATGTTCATGTAACTAAATTTAGTCAACATGAAACCATTTCACGTTACTGATTAACCTTTGTATGTGTTGGAAGATGTACTGAAATAAGTATCAGTGTAACCGTCATACTGGTTTTCTGTCCATTGATTTAATTACTGCAGTAGAAAATGCAGGTAATGGTAATTATAGTGAACATGGGCACTGCTGACCAGCTAGTGAGGCCTGTGTGCTGTGAGGGGTTTGAATAAGGGTGCCCTCACTCTTGGATCACGAAATGGTTCTTCAGATTGAAGGAGAATGTGCTGTAGACGGCTTTTTGAAAAGGGTCTCTATAGCACCACAAAGGGTTCTTCTATTGTGTCAAGCTTGTACCAATACAAGAACCCTTTTCAAAAGCCATCTACAGCACATTCTCCTTCAATCTGAAGAACCATTTCATGATGCAAAGAAACTTTTAATCATGCAGAGGGTTCTTTGAGTGTTCATCATTCCATATAGAACCATTTTCTTTAGTAAAGAATCCTTGAAAGTGTAGCCCCTATGGACTATTTAAACAAAAAAGCCATAGAGGAACCAGGTTTGCTTTCTTAAATACAAGTTTGAGAAGTGTGAAGAACATTTAAAGGTTTAAGAGACCTTCACAAAGATTTTAGACACACAGCTCATATCCAGATTAAGCAGGACAGATTCTCTGCAAATCTGAACAGCAAAAAGCCACATTAAGGCTCAATCCCATTTCACCCCTCGCCCCTACCGTGTTCACATCTAGGTGTAGGGTGTCCTGATTTTTGTTGAGATAGAGGGGGAGGGTGAAGTGTTAGGGCTACATGGCCTTCCAAATGGAGGTTTTTCAGAGACTCCAAACAGAGAGTTATGAGACAAAATGGTAAGATGGCTGAAAAAGAGACCAAAGAAACCCACGAATGTGAGAATTTTCTCTTTTAAATTACAACAACCACTGTATTATCTTAGATTAATGTCATTTCAATGTTTTCCGGTCCTTTTCTTCATAATAAGCATAAAAAAATCGCTAATAGTTTGCTGATGTCTCGGTAGCTAGCTAAATTTCCTGTTCCACCTTAAATGGTGCAACAGTTCTGGCGATTCAGGTTTCAGAACTGCTGCTCCAGTTAAGGTGGAACGGGAAAATTTGAATAAGAAGCTGGAGAATATCTGACTTCATCTTCATATCACTGAAGAATTAGGGGTGGGTGATAATAAATAATTGCCCCCCTCTTTGAAGATCATATGATGCCCTAAATGTAACTAAAGCCCAGCAGTGAGGAGCTGAACTTTACCCTCCTCTGCTGTCACTGCAGACTGGCAGGGTCGCCTACAGAGCAGCGCTGGTAGCTGTTAATGAAGTGATGCTCTTTTTATTTGAGGGTCCCATTTCAGAGGGCAAGATTTCAGTCACTACCCTGTAACTCAGTTCCAAGGGGCAACACTCGAAAGCAATGCGTAGGGGTGAAAATCAGAAATGGGACTGGGCCTTGATCTTACTTTTTCCCCAGTTCAGATTAAAGCCACTTTTGTATGTGGGTTCAAATTTGAGTTCTGAACATGAGGCTCAGTCCCTTTTGGTCACACTTCACAGAATGTAGGTCAAGAGCTGGTGGTGCCCATTCATATGACATAAACATGAGTTTAGACAATCAGGCGACACTTTCTATGCTGTAGTTTTATGCTGACCGCTTCAGTAACTGCACTTCACACCTGTTTCTAAATATTACTGGTAGTGTCGTTACCTGCTGACCAGGTTATCTTATTCTATCATGTTCTCATCATGTTGTACTTGCTAAGGAGTGAATGCTGTTGTGAAATGCAGCATCATTGTTTACTATAAACATTAAATAATGGTACAGATCAACATCTAAGCTCATAAATGCCACCTTTTGCCAAGTTTTGTCAGAGCCAGTTTATGAGGAATCTGGCCACTTCCTATTTCCCCCATTATATCAAAAACATGACTGCAAAACAGCAGAGGGCGCCTGCGAGTGGGTCTTCAATGAATGGGAGTAAAAGGAGCTCAACGGCTAAAAACAAAAACTTAAAATAGTTTCTAATCACTGAACCAGAACTTTCCTTTGTATGTATTTCACTAAAAAAGCAAAGAAATTCACCTGTGTGTTTCCTTTTTTCTACAGCAAACGGGTTTTGGGTAACAGGACGTTAGTATCACTGCTACTGAGTGCTGATTGGTTGGTGAGCAGAGCAGTTCATTGGCTGTTTGCGCTCACAGACGTCATGAACGTACATGAGGCACCGTTTTAAACCCCTATAACTCGAGTTTAAAAGCTCTTAAAAATATAACAGCAGTGTTAAAATGTTTTAAGCTGCTCTGTGCTCAGGAAATGTATCATTTTACATTAAAACTGTTTAAACGTTTATAAACTATGATTTTACTCAAATGCTCCATATCAACTCATTTAGTTTGGACTAACTCGGGAGCGCCCTCTAGCGTTTGAGAAACCCAGAAGACACTGCAGAGTGGTGATTCTCCTCTCTACAAGTTCTCTGGTTTTGTCTGCTCCTCTGTAGTCGCCGTATTCACTTATGCGTGGTTACTATGGAAACCAATGTAAATAAGCGAGCAAATGTGACTACAGTCTGACCACAAATCAGATTCGGTCATTTAACTTGAAATCTGAAGATTAAAAATCTGATCTAAGGAACAAATGTACTGCAGTGTGAGCAAAGCCATAATGCCAGTTTAAGGGTTCTAGAATATTTAAATTATATTCAGGTTCTTTTCACCTTCAGAAGGTTCTTCACACTTACATATGTCATTTACAAAAAAGCTTCTCCATAGAACTATCCATCAAAAGGTTCTTCAGGGATCCAAAAGTGGTTCTGTGGCATTGGTGTAAAGAACCCTTTTAGTGCATTGGTTTGTAAGAGTGTGTTTGTGTGAGGCTTTATTAACAGAGGTAATTAACTGGTGAGCTTGTAATGCTCAACAGTGTAGCTGTATTAATGGAAGTCCTGCCCTTCAGTGAAAATCACCCTTTTCACCAAATCTCCAAAGACCACCAGTTATTTAAGCTAGATTTGTCAGATACTGCCAATGAGTGTGTTTACATGCACTTAATAATCCAATAACGTCAGAAAATCAGATTTTGTCAGTAATCCGATCAACATGTTTACATACGCTTGAGTAAATTCAAACTTCATCGCACAGCTTTACCTGAAAATATGAACATACATCATTTAGAAGATGAAAAATATGTAAATCCTTCATTTCGTCAAAATGTAGTCGGTTTGTAGAGTGTAGAGTGTTCTGCTGTGTCCGATCTAGAAATCCGATTAAAAAATCTGATGAGGCTGGATTTTAGCTCAGTAATCAGATTTCTCAGTGCATGTAAACTCTTACTCTGATTTCTTTCGTATTTCTCAGTCTGAGCATGTGCGAAAACAGACTGCAGTACCGGAAATAAGCGAGCAGCGTCGCCGCGAGACGCAGCAAAACACTTTTGGGGCGACGCTGAAACCCAAACACGAAATGAAGGATTTAAATATTCTTCATCTTCTAGATGATGTACGTTCATATTTTCAGGTAAAGAGGCGCGATGTTTAAAAAAAGCTGCAGGATAAAATTTGAGTTATTTATTATGTTTACGTCACGTCTTCTTCTGTGAGTTTATTGGCTGGTTGTAAAGCAGAAATCTGATTACTGTGTGACTCATATAGACCTGGAGTTTCCCCATGTAAACGTGTTGATCGGATTACTGACAAAATCTGATTTTCTGCAGTTATCGGATTATTAAGTGCATGTAAACACACTCAGTGATTTGGCTAAGATGGCCACTTGACCTTTGATCAGGCTAACTGGACTTTTGGTTTGATCTTCTGACCTGAACTGTTGAAGCCCCTCAGTTAATTATACCACAAATCCAGCCCGTCTTTCGACCCCAAGAGACGAGAAACTCCCCCTTTTCTCTCTCTTTCTAGGAAAGAAAGAAACGACGGCACTTGCGCTTTGAGGAAAGAGGGATTCATGGCCTGCTGGGCACTCGCCATCATCACCGCTCACCCAGCACCGCCTTCTTCATTCATCTCCTCCTCGCTGTCTTTCTCCTTCCCTCTGTCCTGTTTTCTTCTCTCCGACTCTTTTCTCGTCTCACTCACCTTTCCTAATCCATCCCTCTCTCTTCTTCCCTCTCCTGTGTTAGGTCTGTCCCCTCTCTCCCTCTTTCTCTTTACCACCCTCCCCTTCCTTGTTCTTCAACTCTCTCGTTTCTTTCCTTCTTTCTATCCTCTTCTCTTAGTCCCTCTCTTTCTTTCTCTTTACTTTCTCCTTTTCTCTCATCCCCATTCTTCTTTCCTCTTATCTTGCACTCCTCTTTCTCTCTTCTGTGCCTTATTCTGTTCCCTAATTCTGAATCTGTTCCCTCCCTCCCTCTCTCATCTCACTCACCCTGTCTTTCCTTCTTTTCCCCCTTACATCTTTCACTCACTTTTCTTCTCTCTCCTTTTGTCTCTCACTCACTTTCTTTCTCTCCTTGTCTCTCACTCACTCTCCTTCTCGCTCTTTTTGTCTCTCACTCACTTTCCTTCTCCCTCCTCATGTCTCTCACTCACTTTCCTTCTCCCTCCTCATGTCTCTCACTCACTTTCATTCTCTCCTTAAGTCTCTCACTCACTTTTTCTCTCCTAATGTCTTTCACTCACTTTCCTTCTCTCTCCTTATGTCTCTCACTCATTCTTTCTCTTATGTCTCTCACTCACTTTCTTTCTCTCCTTGTCTCTCACTCACTTTTCTCCATCTCTCTCTCATTCTACTCTCCATATGTCTCTCACTCACTTTCCTTCTCTCTCTCCCTCTCTTTATGTCTCTCACCCGCATTACTTCCTTCTCTCTCTCTCTCTCTCTCTCTCTCTCTCTCTGCCTCTCTCTTTGTTTCAGGCTGCGCTGCTGTAACCCTGACAACGGCGCTCGTGACTCTCCGGTGGTCCCGAACGCGCGAGCCGATTACACCCGCGCTAACCGGCGCTTTAATTGGCCGCGTTCTGCATCTGTTGCATCCAAGCCGAACGCGTCGCGAGCCTCCCAAACCCACCCCAACCCCTTTCATTTAAAGGCACGACCACTTTCAAATATGAGCGTCCTCGCGCCCCACTGACACCTGTACACCAAACCGAAACGCACAGTGAGCGCGCGTCGCGCAGAGCGAGAAATCGCGTGCCTGTGATGCAAACAAAGGCGTGCGGTGTCTGTCTGTCTCTCTCTCTCTCTCTCTCTCTCTCTCTCTCTCTCTCGCGACGGAGCTGAGACGGCGGCGCCGCTCCGAATGAAAGAAAAGGGGGGGACACCGACAGAACTTTTCTCCACGTTTTTCCTCTACAACAACCGTAAGCAAGAATGCGCGAGCTCGGTGCACGCGCGCGTCTGTAGCGTCTCGCGTGCGCGCGCGCGTGTGTGCGTGTGCGTACATACTAGTCCGACTGGTTACCGAGGGGAAAGCACTACTAACTAGTCGTGCCCCCCCAGTCATTATGGGATGGATCTCCATGGCAACCGACCAGACGTCACAAGCTGGGCATGTGCGTTCCATTTTTGGCTCTTTCTTATTTTCAGAGCGCAGGATTTGGACGGAGGAGGGAAAGAGGGAGATTTTTGGGCGGCTTCAATATAGGGCAGCCATCTTTTCCTTTTTTCTTTTTCCCCACCTTCCTCGCCTCTCCCTCCGTCTTTTTCCGAGGGTGCCAAGTGTGAAACACAGTTCCTCACCTTCGCTGAACGTCCTTCCTCTTCCTCCTCCTCCTCCTCCTCCTCCTCCTCCTCCTCCTCAGTTAAAGGCGTTGCGTTAGCCCCCGTCTCCGGCTGCTGCTGCTCTGAAGGGGTTAAGTTTCCACGACTTTGCTGCTCCGGCTTGGATGTGATTTTTTTTTTTCCCCTCCTTTTTTTTTTGGTAATGCAGTAAAGATGCCCGGATCGCTGAGCAATGAAGACGAGGGGCAAGACGATTTGGATTTTGAAGACGACATAGCAGGTGAGGGGAGTAGCCTAAAGTGGCAAAGGGAGGGGGGGAGTTTCTCTGTCCTTCTGAGCTGCTGCTGCTGCTACGCCTTAGCTGAATGCAGGGAAGGAGACGAGGCTGAAGTTGGCTTCCTATTCGCCAGCCTCTTGTTCTGATTACCCCCCGTTCCACCTTAAACGCTGCACCATTTAAGGTGGACCGGGGGAATTCGAACTGGGAGCTGACTCCAGCTTCGTGGGAAAAAAAAAAGGGCTTGACCGTGCCACGGTGCCGGAGACTTGAGGAGAGGAGGGGGCAACCTGGGCAAACGATGGGGGGGCTGCTCTCTTTCTGTCCTCAGACAGGACTCTTTCAGCCCAAATCCGGGCTCGCCACGGTGCACATGTCTGCAAGTAGCTATACCTTCAGTTTGTGCACCCTTATTATATATATTACAAATATACGACACATATTAGCATATATGGATTTTCTTCATATAGAACTCATCACAGCCTTATTTATGGCCATTTTCAAATGTGGGGCATATATCTGAGTCATACATCAACATATATGTGTAACACATCTATTTAACCTGTGCAATAAAATAATTAAAACAAATAAAAAATTGAAATATTGTTAATTGAGCCATTTAAATAATTTAATATGCAGATAACAGTGATAATGACTAATATAATTATGCTAGGATGTATCAGACATATATGTATATCATGCATATATGACCATTGTTTGGTACTTGCATATGTGTACATAACATATATGACCTATAATTTAAAAAATATGTGCCAGAGTCTTGTTGATATGAGTGATTTCTGTATGTTTGGCTTCAGTCTGATTCCGTCTGGCATCAACCAGACGCAGTTTTCCTTGCATATTAATAAGCTTAGATGCACACCATTTTTTATATCCTCTCCATCACTTTGCACTGATGCCTTTTTGCGTTTTTGTCAGCTCTGGTTCTGCTTGACTCGGTGCTGCCGGAGAAAACATGTGCATACGTTTCATTTTGTCTTAATAGAGATTTTAAACATGTGTCAGGCTGAATCGTGAAGAAGGCCATTGAAGAAAGCCCAGCTGGTGTGTTTCTCTAGTATACTCCCTCGGTTAAATTGTAGTGCCTCCACAAGCCACGTGTGACATCCCTGGCTTCACTTCATGTCTGTGGTCAACTTTAGGGGGCTTTCGGCGTCTCTACGCTGCCAGTGTTGGGTTTTCCAGTGGACTGAGAGACCTCTGCTCATCAGAGACGTCCCAATCCGATGTGAAAGAGCAGTATCAGAGCCGACCCTGGCATATCTTACTATCGGTGATATTAAGAAAGATCAAATAACGATCTTTTGTTAAGGCTGATGAATTTAAAACCCCCATTATTTATGGTAAAATTATTCCCTTCATTCATCTTTATCAGCAAGAGATGTTTTCAGATTTAAAGAAGAGAGATTTATGATGTTTGTGTTGATGTACCAACAGTCTGTGCTGTGCTGATATATGCATTAATTAATTAATTCATCAAGTGACTCTTATTAGTCCCACAGCAGGGAAATTTCACCTCTGCGTTTAACCCATCCGTGCAGTGAAACACCACACACACTAGTGAACACACACACTAGGGGGCAGTGAGCACACTTGCCCAAAGCGGTGGGCAACCCTATCCACAGCGCCCGGGGAGCAGTTGGGGGTTAGGTGTCTTGCTCAAGGGCGCTAAAGTCATGTACTGTCAGCTCAGGGTATCGAACCCGGCGACCTTCCGGTCACAAGGCTGGTTCCCTAACTTCCAGCCCACGACTGCCCTGCCATAAATGGAAATGACTGTAAATGACTGCTGTTCCAATTGGCTGCCCTGTGTTCTCGTTGAAAAAGTGGTAACACTTCTTATAACTTCAGTTTTAATGGGCAGGGCTAAACAGCTGTTGGTATACATAGGTATGTACATGTGACATCACAATTAAATTCCCAGAAAGCTGTTTTCGCAGCATTGTGTGTGGACTGGGGAGGGAACGGTACATTTTTAAAGAAAACTCTTAATAAAGAAAAAAAAAAAGAAAGGAAAATTTGATTTACATGATGTGGGCCGGTTAATAAATCACTGTGAAAACATCTTGAAAGTGGAAACTCAGCTTAGCAGCCTCATGTAATACGTGCAATGGCAGTGTTTCAACTGCAGTAAACAAGGTTTCTCTACTGGCATGTCAAATTTGAATCTGTTGCACCAGAGGAGGCCATTCCTCTGGTTTAAAAAAGGCCAAAACCATCCCCCTTTGGGTCAGTAGCCACGTTTACATGCGGCCTAATAATCCGACTAATAGCTCAATCGGAATACAGCACGTCCATGTAAACACCTCAGTCGGAATGGTCTAGTCCGATTGAGGCCATTCAGAATACAGTTTCTATCCGACTGATCGAGGTGGGTAATCCTGTAAATAATCCATTAAACAGAAGAATAATATCCGTGTAAACGCCTGTATCTGATTACATTCCCCTTCGGAAAGTTTAAGTCCATTCTGATCATGTTCGTCGCGTCATAGTGAGAGTTTATACCGTTCACCATGGTGGAGCAGAAACTGGTCTGCAGAGGAGACGAAGTTTATGCTCTGATCTTTAAAAGACGGCGGTGGGACGGACGTCCAGCTTATGTGTCTCAGAACACGACGTCTTCCTCTCGGCCTTCTTTAATAAGGACACGTGAAGGACGTTTTCCTGAGTCTGACATCATTTTAAAGCAATTAAAAACACAAGCACTGCTCACTGCTGCTCGTCTCACTCTGACTGGACTCACGTGATGCTGGTTGTCATAGTAACATCTACACTAAGTGGTTCTCTACGCATGCACGTTATTTTGGATCGGATTACTTGTAGTGAGCATGTAAACTGAGATTTTAATCAGATTGTTGAGTAGAGTGAGAATAAACACCTCAGTCTTGATCTATAATGGGAATGAATTTAATCAGATTGGCAAAAATCTTTGCATGTAGACACAGACAGTGATCAGCAGTATCACTTAAGATAGTGATATTTCATCCATGTGAGCACACTGAGCTGCTCTGGATGCATCAGGAGTTCTTCTTATAAATCCATAGGTTATGACACACTCAGGAGATATGTAGAAATGCCATCGTTTGAACTCACCTTGAATTTTTGTCGATTCAAAGCCTGTTTACAACATATTTATTGAACGTTTGGGTGACGCCGACTTTTGTAATAATATATGTGCAATTTATTCATTTCACTTTAGTGTAGCCCTGTAGAATTCAGTCGTATATTCTAATAATAATCTGTAATGCTAATCTAGGTAGATATAATCCCAGTTTCTATATTTTTTAAACGTTTATGTATCAGCATTGACAGATGTGTGCGTGAAATATATCTGACATTGACATCCGTAATACAAAAGTACCATATTTCTGAAATCACAATGATTTTACTTCAGCATTTTTAAAGACCTGGAAGCCTAAAACATCACTGCTGTTGGGACAAAACCTCACATCTCCATTTTGGTTGTTTTTCATTTTTTGATGTAATTTGAAAAATTATTTAACCTTCATGTTGTGTCGAGATTTCATAAAAAACGGACCGACAGAATTGGTCCAGAATTACTCAGAAATTAATATTTCTCCATTTACGTCCATTAAAGTTAAGAATGTTTTGTCCTGTCAAGTTAGCTTTTTTGGAGATGGGCCTACAAGGTTTTGTTCTGACAGCGAAATCTTACCTAGATTGGATCGCTTGTACTTACCTTAAAGGGCACATATCCTCCACTTTTTCATATTTTGTTGTATCAGCTGAGGTCCACTAATAACCACTGTGTATTTTTATATACCATAAACGGTCATAATTGACTTTTACATGACCGTCTTCCAACCTCTATTTATCCCTTACAGTTAAACAGGCTTACTGTGTTACTGTGCCTTTAAGACAGATATAAGATAAATGAACTCTGTTCTGATTGGCTGCCTTGTATTCTGCCTTATTCGGGAAGCAGGGCTGAATTGCTCCTTATTACTTCAGTGTGAGTGGGTGGAGCTAAACTGCTGTAGGCAGAACAGGTGGATATATGTAAATGTGTTGGTTGTTGTGACATCACAGAAACAAACAGGCTGTTTTTGCAGCTTAGTTTCCATATATAGACTGTTTGATCTGGGATTTGCATGTTTGCATATACTTCATCTCTTTAAGGCCCTTAATGTATGTAATGTATGTTTTTTCCGGACCCAGGACCGCTCGCTCTGCGAGTTTGGTACATTTCGTTGAGTGTGAAAGCTGTTTTTGAGCCTGAGAGCAGTTCAGAGACCCTTTCTCTGGTCCTACTGACATCAGTAGTCTTTTGTTGGCTTCCAGAACTCTGGCGCGGTCCGCTGTGCGTGTGAAAGCTGTACGCTCCCGGCGCACATATGGGGTTGCGTGATTGGTTCTTTTTGGCTGTGTTCACATTACCAGGTTGAAGTGGCCCAAATCTGATTTTTTGCCCTAATGTGACTCAGATCTGATGTTTTCAGGGCTGTGTGGACACAAATCTGATCTTTTCAAATCCAACCTGAGCCACTTTCATATGTGGTCCTAGATCGGATACGTATCCGATTCGTGGCCATGTGACCTTAATGTGATGCTCAGTTCAGAATTCATGCGCTTTTTCTTCACTGCGCTGCGCCATCATTCAGCGTTACCATGGCAGCAGCGCCGAACAGAAGTTAAAGCCTGTAAACGGTGGAAAAGCAGCTCATCTCACCTTTTTCTCCTTCGTCTCGCTCTAATAATGAAGCTGAGAGCTGATCAGAGTTAATGATCTTCTCAGCGAAGCTCGTTCTGCTCGTTAGTTTGTGCTGATGATGAACGTGATTCATTCACGTGACGTTACTGAGTAGGATGAGCTCATGAGGGTCATTTCAGGACGCCGGTTCGTCACATTAATGACGGATTTGAGTCACTTACCTAAACGAGTGTGAAGCATCGTGTCAGAGAGATCAGATTTGAGCAAAAAATCAGATTTGAGCAACAAGGCTTGTAATGTGAACGTAGCC